CAGCTATAGCAGTTATTAGTTAATGACCAAATCAGACCAAATTTTAACAATCTCGATGACTTACATCTTTCCTCATCTGCATCGCATCAGAGTGTTAGAATTAATTAATAAGTTCTATACCCGTTCGCTAAATATTTCCCGCCCTCCCCAAGATTTTGGTACGTCTGACTAAACACCACTCATTGACGCAGGAAGTGAATTGTCTAAGAGTTTCTCCCGACGTCGCCCTGTCATTCTACTGAGACCGGAACAAAAGTGTAATCGTCCAGGGGCCAGGTACGAAATGGGATTGAAGAGTCGACGCGACAAAAGAAAGATGGTTTACTACTGAAATACGTGTTGGTGATTTACTGGGACCTCGGGTTTCCAATACTATTTCAAAGATGCCATATATTAAATAATAATTTTCAAGCTACTGTAAATTTGGGTACAAGAGCCAAGTCGCAGGATATAACGACAAACAAAACATAAATTGAACTTGAACACAAAACTTACTTGCTATTGTGAATCCTTAGATCTTAGAAAAAGAAATGTAACCTTGTTCACTAATGTATCGTTAATCACAAAATTCAATTTAAACAAGTGTATCCTGCACGTAAAGATTACCGAAGCCCTCTGTCTTTTAAGACTACTTTTTGGGTACTATTTTTCAATTCGTTCTCTCGGTTTTGGGTTGAACCACGTAAAAATTATTATTTTAACTCGGTTGTTAAAAATATTCAATCTTAATCAATGGTATTTTTATCATATTTCTTTACCTTATTCGCTTCTCATGTGTACGTAGTTGACACTAATACTATCGCATTCACACTGCCTTTTGCATCTTGATCTAACAAAAATCTTACCTTACGATCTTACTAATCGACAAACTACATATTTTTGACATTGCAGTATTTTAAATTGTAAAAAAAATCGAAATACCTTAAACCTCTTTAAAAACTCCCAGTCAGAGATAAAATATTGAAAATGATTATTAAAAAACGAATTTAATTAGAAGAAATTTTACATATTGAAGATAATTCCATAGCTTTTATGTTTTCCTTAAAAATGAAATTAGGCCAAGATTCTCTTTTTTTTTTTTTTTTGATGTCTCGTCGAACCGGGAACTCAAAAAAATCTATGAGTGTCCACTCTATTCGAATGCCGATAACGTTTTAATGCCAGGCCTACTAATTAGGCCAACGGCCTAATTCAACTGATACAACCAACATGCCGGATGTTTGGCCACCCGCTGCGAGGTGTGAAGCGCGACGGCAGGGGGCGGCGGCGGAGGTCTGGCTAGATGGCGCGCAGTCGCCCGGCAAGGCAAGGCGGGGCAGGGCAGGGCAGGACCCGGCAGGCGCACGCCCTTACTAAGAGCAGGCGTAACCGCCTGATAGCGGGCGCGCGCCGCCTCACAGACGCGGTCTGCTCCGGAACGTCGTTACGAGCACTTAGAGGCTTTCAGCGCGTGCGACGCCAGGGCGAATGCAGGGTGCACAGTTTGGAGATTAGTAGGACTACAACAGCACATTATTTCTCGCATTACTTCTAAATTTGCCAATTTTCGAGTTCAACAGAGACATGCAACATTCTCTCAAGAGCTCTTTACGCTATCAACGAAAAAAAAAAAAAATCAATTTAGAGTCATTATTGGGGAAATTTTAAAAACGTTGTTGATGCTTCACATAAAGCACCCTCCAAAATCAAAAAAGTCCTTTTCAAACTCACAATCAGAGGGACTTGTGATCCAGAACAATTTTAAGAACGGTTGGGACGTATAAGAATTACGTACGCAATTTCAATTACAACTAGCCTTGAGCTTGGGTCGTGGTGTATTTTGGTTTACGGCGAAATACACATTAAAAACCAAAACCATTCGAGAGTTGAGGAGTCTGATCTACTCATGGGACTCATACACACGCACTCACTCACACACACACACACATATACCCGCGCGCGCACACACACGCACATAACAAATGTCTTTTCCAAGGCGACCTGCAAACGCTCAATTCGTCCTCATTCAGTTCACACTACTGAACTAAATATATTTACATGAAAAATTATGATATTATCAATATTTGTGTAAGTTTCACTAATGTCTGATCTCCTCAAAGTTCGTTTAAATACAAATCATACGCATCATTCTATTACTCTTGGACAATCAACAAACATAGGAAAAGTGTAAGGAGAAAGATAAAGAGAAATGCAAAGAGAAAAGACTTCTCACAATTTTTACGAACCATTCTTTAGTCGGATCGTGGTATATTTTGGTCCTGGGCGCGAAACACATTAAAATCAAAACCATACGACAGCTGAGTGGTCTGGTCTTGTCTACTCCAGGAACAAAAAAACAAGGAAAAAAAACACAACAAATGTCATCTTTCCCAAAGCAACCCGCAAACGCTCGCTACACCGTCGCCGTCATTCAGTGCGCCACCTACTAAATACAATATTTACACCGGGGATTACGACGTTAAAACGACTTGTGTGTCGACGCCCGCGCTTCTCGGAAAGCGCGTCCCTTCGGCTTACGAGTCGAGGCAACGGGGAGCTGGGGCGGTGACGTCGCAGGCGGCAGGCTGAGCCGACAGCGCGAAGCGACGAGCTGTCGGTTTAACAGCGGCTTTTCGGGCGCCGCGACGGCCGCTGTCTGGAAACGCGGCGTTGCGTCACGTCCTTCAGTCACACGGCGCGGCGCGGGGAGTCGGAAGTCGGCATTGCACGGCGCGACTGTCAGCACAGCCCAAGGGTGAATTTAGGCCTTTCAAAGGCATACTAGGTTGCTGCGTTGTGGCCCAACCTCAGAAATGGGCCGCAGATGACAGTAAAAGGCGCTCCAATATCACATACTTTCTCGCATTATTTTAAATTTGCCGTTTTCGAAAATTCAGATTTTATAAGATATGTAGCATTCTTTTAAGGGTCCCTTGTTTTATTTCTCAAAAAAAGAAAGAAAAAATTGAAGAATTTTGAGAAAATTTGTTTTTATAAATTGCGTTAATTTCAGGCTGATATTAGGCCGAAACGGTCATTCTTTTCAAGAAATTGTCTGACTCCCTTTTATAAATGGTTTTTTAGAGCCTATTTTATTTAACGCAACAATTGCTATCTTCAACTTTGTATTTTTGAAATGTTAACTTTATGCAAGTGGAGATTCGAGTTTGAATGAATGTACTACATTAGGATTTCAGTGGATATCTGCAAGAATAGCAAAGATTTTTATCTTTTTTATTAATATTATTTCATTAGTAAAATAGGTTACACACATTACAATAAATATTCTAGTTTCTTAGGATCTCAATAATTCAAACCTTTATATTTCACCACTTCCCCTGTACTCCCAATCTCAGCGAGAGGAATTATTATTTTTTTCAATTCAGATTCGAGATTTTGATATTCCATTTGATATTCCATTAAAAAATACAAAGAAATATTTAAAATTTTTAATTTTTAATTAATTGACACTGTTTTTTTATTGAAACTGAAACAAATCGCGAAAAAATATAAAAACAAAGTTGTTTTTCATGATTTGTTTTCAGGAAAGTAAAATTTGAAAAAGTGAGCTTGCCTTTAAATAACTATCATGGAATTTGAATGTTTCATTGTATAATATTATTGACTAATGTATCCTAATGTAACAATAATGCAGGACACTGACACCTTCTGCTCTTTGGAGAACGTTGCATTATATGAGTACTACTTTACGATGTTCTATACAAACATCAGAGATTTTATTATGAGTATGACTCATCAAGAGAGTTCACCAAATATTAGTAAACTAGAACAAACCAAAGAATTAGGTTCTTCATTTCTGACTACCCCATTAAAACGTCCGCAAGGGCTTGAAAAGTGCAGCATAAAATTGTCATTTAAAATATCTCTTCCGGTATACGTGACACACAAAACCTTGGAGTGTTTGCCTTGTAATAATGAAGAGAAACCTGGGGAAATCCGAGAACAAAGCATTCTTCCTGCAGCTCAAAGACGTTACGACAGGATGGGTGCGCTGCTTGTTCATTCGAGTGGTTGAATAGTGCGACCGTTGCGAGAGAAAAGAGGCACTCTTAAGAACCTTGGTTCTAACGAGTTCCTTACGAAATTAGGTTTGCTTACGTTTCTTTTCTTCAAACATAGGGGTTTCTTCCTCAATTCCGTACCTTCAGGGGATTTTTTGTGTGGAAGGAAACGTTTTCCTCTTTAACCTATCGTCGAAGGAATCTGCGAGTTCATGGTGATTTTTGATAGACGTTTAACGTGTTAATTAATATTTTGAAAAACAAAAATTCGCAGAGATTTGAAGTATGCCCAGGAAATGGAGTGCTTAAGTCACAAAAAACGTGGAATTATTTCCAATCAAAATATCGCACAAAAACACAAAAGTCCCTTTTAGAGAATATTCACTTCTGTGTCAGTCTTCGTGAACTGGTTGTACTACAATGAGGATTTCGACGCATTACATTGAGAATTTGGCTTCTCTCATAAACTATCATATGGAGAAATACATTTCGTATTGTCCTTTTTTTTATGAATAAAATCATTTTCAGGCGTCAGAATTATCTATGAATGTTAAAGGATGTGCGCATTAAACACGTTCGAACTATATTTGAATTGGGATATTGAAAGTATCCTACATTCAAATTAAATGGCATTCAAATTACACAATGTTCGAATCAGGCATTGTCCAATTTATGCATCGTCTGATTTATGCATTGTTCGAGGTATACATTGTTTGAATTATGCATTGTTTGAGTTATGCATTGTTTGAGTTATGCGTTGTTTGAATTAAACAGTATTTGAATAATACAATTTTCAAATTGCTCAAGTTTGGAATTATACAATTTTCGAATTACACACTTTTCGAATTCTACAATGTTCGGATGAGCCTATTTTTTAAATAGACAATGCTCGAAAAAGGATGACTTTCAAATTAAAAATATTCCACTGTGTATTCATATTTGTAAGAGATGGTCTACCCAAACACATGTACTGAGGACGCGTGTTCCCTTGTGTTGCAGCTTCGCCCCCGAGCTCGCCCTTCCTGGGCGCAGAGCTGCGCAAGTGCGACTCGGAGGACGAGGACGGGTCGTCCCCGCTTCTGACGCCCCCGCGGACGCCCACCTCGGCGAGCGCGCCGGCCTTCCGCTTCTCCTCCCCGCCCCCGCACCACTCCCCTCACCAGCCCGCGCTCACGGCGTTCGCCGCCCTGGAAGGCGGGCCGTGGGCGTGCGGGCTGCGGAGGCCCCGAAAGGAACGCCGCCTGGCGCAGCCATGGTTGACGAGTAGCGGCCCGCCAGCGGGTGTGAACGCCGAATGGCGGGTGTGCTGGGCGGTGGTGCGACCCCGCCCCGCCGGCGGCCGGGGCAGCCAGAAGCGGGCCGCCGCCGCCGCGGGCCGCCGCCGCCGCTTGCCGCCCGTACGTCGCCGCCGCCGCCGCCCCGCCCGGTGGCGGCTGCCGGGGCGGGGCCCCGGCGGCGGGT